ATATTCTTCTACAAATTCATGAATTTGCGTTCTTTCATTTGCGTTTGCTTACAGTAATCGACCCAACTTTTACGGCTTAAGTATGGACTATTTTACTTTCCAAGACAAAAACCTTTATATTCTTTAATACATTATAGATTAATCAAATATTGGCCAAAACTGTGCTTTTTACATTTTTGAAAAAAGTTATGGAAATACTCTTAATAAATTAAAAGACGTGATATATCATTGGGTGTAACTTAATATTAATTATTTTATTACCTATTTATAATTGGGTATAAAATAGACTATACTTAAGACACAAATTAAGTCAAATAATACTATTATTCAGATATATGTGAGGTCAGAACTTTTGAAGTGCAGTCTATTTACGCAAATAATTGACATAGCACATTCCACTAGCGCCGTCGTTATAAAGGACGCTTATATTACATGGTTCCTCAGAATAATTAAAAAGTCCGACCCAATTTCAAAAGACAAATCAGAAAGAATAAAAAGCAAAAAGGTGATGCCTTCAAACAAAGGTTTCAATGCAATCGAAAAGACCAACAAAATTTACTTAAGAAAACCCGTTGTTAAATAAAAACGTAGTAATGAAACGTAGTAAAAAAGAACGATTAAATAAAAAACATGTAATAGCCAGAACGTTTCAAAAATTCAAAATTAAATTAAAAACTCGAACAAATTGTTGTGTCTAAAATATACAATTAAATGCAAAAGGCAAAAAAGAATGTCAAGAATAGATAAAAGTTTAATTGAGAGCTATGAAGAAATTAGAATAAAAATGTCAAACATACCAATAATTCAATACTTTACCATTGTTATTATACATTGCTGTTAAACAAGATGGATTAGATATTTGTTTTTTTATTTTAATTATATTTAATTATTTTTACCCAACTGCAGAAGAAAGAGATCAATAAAATGTTAAGTGTATGAATGATCCCATTTTCCGATTAAACTACTGATCCGATTTTAATGAAACAAAAACTAAAACAATCTGGGAATTCCGGAAATTGTTTTAGCTAGGTTTAATTATTTTGAAAATAAGTATAGTTCCAAAAATTCAAAAACTAGTTCATGTATTTTACAAGGCTACTTAAAAAGACTGGAATTTTTAATCGAAACAATGATCGCCTAATGTAGTATAACACAAATATTAACTAAAATGGTTCAAACTTTAAGTAAATTAAGTCAAAAACATAAAATTGAATGAAGTGAGTGAACAAATAGAGGATGTTAAACTGTCAAAGCGATGAGAGGTATTGTTAATAACTGTTACTAATTTACAAGTGTTTTCCTTGCAATCGGTATTTTATCTTACTGATTTACTGTTAGAGATTATACCTAATAAGTATTTTTGGTGTAGATTGTCATTAAACAGTTTTTATACTCACAACTCACTACAATTATCCCCTTTCTTTTAGAACTCGAGAGAACATCTATTAGTTTAATAGTTTGTAAAAGAGGAATTAATTTTATTTTTATTATAAAACAACAGTCTTAGAGTTATTTTAGCTTCGATGCAAAGCGAGAAGGTATTGGTTTTACTCTGATGTGGGCTTTTTTTTTCGCTGTATACACTGTAACTTTTTTAATACTAGACCAATTCCTTCGAATAGCAACTTTATAAATCACAAATTTTGTCTAGTTTGTACTTTGGGGGGTAAAAGTTGAAAAAGTTTAAGTCTTCACAGACGAAAGTTGAAAAAACAAAAATAAACCGTACGAGTTTTTAAGTTAGAACTTTTACTGGCTATAGTATCGAGAAAAAGAGTCGGATCGAGTTGAAATGTATGAGAAATAGGGGGGGGGGGGTACAAGTTTTTTTGGTTTTCGGGGTTTTTAGCCGTAATTTTAAAACTTTTGGGTTGAAAATTTGCCAGTAGTTGGAACTCATATGTATCCATAACATATTAAGCGGGTGAAAAATTCGGCACAACGGTTTTTTTTTAATTGCCGGAAAACCGTGTTTTCGCACATTGCGTATATTTTAACAAAAACACCTAAAATATTTAAAAAAAATTGATCAAATCATTAAAACAATTTTATTTATATCTATGCAGAATGATACTATTAGGTTTTGTGCTCAAGTACCACTTTTGACTTAAAGTTTACACAAATTCAACTTTTTTTTTTTTTTTTTAACTAAAAACCCAGTGTACCAGATATGAGAAACGAACAGACACTAAAAACTATCAGTTGGTAACGTCTATCCGTGTTAGATTAGGTTAGGGCCCAATGATCGGTATCATAATATTGTGTTTATTACATGATATCACAGGCGACTAAATCGTGTGACTGATTATAGTAGACACTCGATTTATTGGGAAAAAAACCTGTCCGTGTACTTATTAAGGTACTTAATGATTCTGATACGACAAAACCACTGTCGTTATCTCGTTATTTTATAGCCTGCGTTATATAACCTTACCGAAGGTTAACTATGAGTATTTAATGTCCAACTACCTGCAAATAATGAAGAGGACTGTTGTTTTTTGGATTCAGATTAAGTGTTGGTTTTTATGCAGTATATGCAGTATACCGCCTCAAAATGTTTTTTTTATTACACAATTTTTTTAAAGGAAAACTTATGTTTTGTATATTGTTATACTGTTATTCATTTAAAGAGATTCACGCTTGATTGTTTAAATTGTCTAATATTAGATAATCTGCTTCGTGCTAATTTTATTTTTTTAGTTTATCAACTTGTAGCTCTAATTTTGTAAAAAATATTTCATTATTTTATTACTATGTACTATTACTATTAAGATAAATTTTAATAATAATTAAGTCATAAATGATAATACTTTATTTTATGACTAGATCAAATCTCGTGTACATTTAACATCATGATACTGCTCCTATGCTATTATTAAAAAAACACAATTTTTAAAATCTCCATAAAAGGTTATTGTTAAATAACAGGCAACAGCCGACTGCAAGTGGCTATACACGTTAGTAATATTTAACTAATAAGTAATAAATGTAGGTAAAATTTATTGTTTTCTCCATCACAGTACCAGTATACGATTTATTTTAATTTAAATGTAAGAAAATCGATTTTTCTTTAGAAAATAACAAGAAATTAATATACAGGATGAGGCAGTAAAACGGCGATTTTCTAATGTATTTAAATGGTAAAAACCCGTTTCACTATCCCACCCTTTACATTTTAAGGATCTATGAAAAGGTTTTTTTAGTTGCATTTTATTTTGTACATTGTCAATCTAGTAAAATAGAAGTATAATATAGTTTTGAAATAATATAATCTGTGAAGTATAAATAGTTTGTTTGAGATTGCTCTAATGGAAGTATATAATACATAAATATTAATTTTATTGAGTATAAGCGATTATATTTTAAACTATGGAGTACAAACGATTGAAACATGAATCGTCGACCATTCCAACAAAATATAACAAGACATTGTATATGTGTTATTTGGTCCACTAAGTTTTTGCAAAAAAAAAAAAACCAGTACAGTGGGGTCGAGGCATAGTGGGGACAGAGCGTAGTTGGGTCGGGGCATATTGGGGACGGGGAGGTCACAGGTTTACAGGAATTTTTAAATCTGAAAGTGATAAAATCACTTTCGAAAAAACGCTTCGATGCAAATCGGTAGTTAGTATTTTCAAGCCAGTACAGTCCAAACCAAGCACAGTATAAACCAGCAAAGTTAGAAAGTTTTAAATGAAGGTTCTGTATTTACAAATGAGCATCAAAGCGTTTATTTGAAAGCGATTTTATCCGAGAGGACTAGTACAGTAGAGTATTGGCATAATGTAATCAAAGCAATGAGGAAACGGAGTGGTCACAGGTCTACAAGAATTATTATAAATAAAAGTGATAAAATTGAATAAAATCGCTTTCAAATAAACGCTTTGATGCTCATTTGTAAATACAGAACCTTCATTTAAAACTTTCTAACTTTGCTGGTTTATACTGTGCTTGGTTTGGACTGTACTGGCTTGAAAATACTAACTACCGATTTGCATCGAAGCGTTTTTTCGAAAGTGATTTTATCACTTTCAGATTTAAAAATTCCTGTAAACCTGTGACCTCCCCGTCCCCAATATGCCCCGACCCAACTATGCTCCGTCCCCACTATGCCCCGACCCCACTGTACTGGTTTTTTTTTTTTGAAATTAACTATTTAAAAAAACAAAATATAAATATAATTTTTCTAATAGATTCTAACTTTATTTTATTATCTTTAAAATATGTTTGGAATAATAGTTCCCTAACAGTAGAATATTAATGGGCGTTCTTAAGACGGTTGGGAACGGTCTAAAGCAGACTATAAGTTTTTTAATGTCCAAGTTCAAAGCGCCCATATATGAGGCTCATAACGCCAGAAAAGCATAACCCGCAAACAATTTAACTATATTTTCTTACATTAAACCTTTTATAATAATATAATATTTCAAAATCAGACTTGCCCAAACTAAAAACTATAAAGTTGATCCAGTAAATGGCAGAACTTATTATTTTTGGAATTGACATTTAAACAATGATAATTAAACTCTATAGCTGGCTTTTTACCGAACTCGTAGTTTTGTGGGTTAAGCTTTTCTGACACTTTGTATGCCATACAGTCTGAATAACTTTTGTCATGTTGGGTTTGTTGTAATTATTTCATTTCTGCCATACGCTTTAGTGACTTCACACGCTAGCATTCCTTCAGTTTAATCTGTAGATTAATGAAATTACATTTTCACTAACAAGTGAATTGTAATGTAAAAGTGAAAGTGCTTTTAGTAGAAAGAGGAATTTTATTTTTTAACAAAGAATTTAGGGAAATTATTTTTATGGAGAAAACCCATAGCATGTAAATAAAAGTAAAATAATTAAGAATTTAAACTTCACTTACGTAGTAGATAAGGCATTATAAATATAATTTATCTAATTTAATTTCTGCCAGTGATTATATAAAGTTAAAACCTCATATACTTTATAAACAAGTTGTGAACATAATTATGTTTTTTTTTATTTTGCAGGATTTTCATTGATTCATTCAGACATTCAGTTCAGCTATTATTGGAATAATTTGATATACCTAAGAAACTATTCACCATGTAGAGCTACAACTAATTAGGCAAGTACATTTACATGTTGTCTAATTGAAAAGAAGGAAATAACTACAATAATATTGATAACGATTTACGGGTATTATGCGAGAAAAACTGTATCCAAATAAAATATTATTTGAGTAGTTTTAAAACCAAATTAGGTATTAGGCGCTTAAAATAACAGTGTTGTAAAATATAAATTAATGATTCAATTTTAGTAGTGGCTAAAACGGAAATTAGGTGAGCACCGCTCCACCACTATATTAACGATGAGTTAAAAACCTTTCATGATTCTACTGTTTATAATTGTTTATTATTATATTAATAAAACTATATACCGTCAACACAATACAATGTTGTTAGAATAATATTTAAAGTAAGTATATTATTTTCAAATAATTGTTCGAATTTAAATTTTTTCAACTCTGTTTTCAATATTTTTGTTTCATTCATACATATATACTCACTAAACACATATAATATAGTTTCACGTTGTTAATTAGTTCTTGTTTTTAAAGTTATGGAAATTCTAGACAAAGATAAAATAAGTTAAAATAAAACAAATCATGTGACTGTAATTATATATTTATACCTCAAGTTTTACTGAAACATAATTGTTTATAATTGTTAACACATAAAAAATATGATTTTGTCCTTATAGAATATTGTGAAATAGTCCACTAATTAATTAATTTTGAATAGTCCGGTGACGTGAACGTTATATTATCGTTCATAATTATCAACATTATTACAATATTGTAATGAACATGTTAAAATATCAACAGCTCCAGTTTTTTTATTACCTAATTTTTATTTATTTTTTATTTTTATTATCACATTTAGTTTTGGTGATGTGTTACTCTCTAGTATTTGTTTATTTTTTTGCACTTAGCAATTAGCACGTTCAATTTATATAATGCACAATTGTGTTTTACATTTGCCGAAGCTGTACCCAACGAATCTTGGATATCGATACACATAACAGAAAGATATTTGACAAAAACTAATTTTACGGGTAAAAAGTAAAAAGGTCAAAGACTACAAGGGATTGTCTTAACAGCAATAGAGTTCTTAAACGAAACAAAAGGACAATTATAAAAAATATAGTATCAAACTTGTTGGATAAAGCACTTGAAGCCACAATTGTAAAAAATGTCGTGAGAGCAAGTAAACCGCCTAAACAGTTGAATCTTGCGAAGCTGCTAAATAAAAATGTTGAAGATGCTGGGTCGTCTATAGAAGATAAGGTTGTTACTTTAGATAAAACGAATATACTTTCTAGTTGTGGAAAGGTAATAGAAAAACATAAAAAAAAGGAATTGTACGAAGTTAGTGAAAATGCTGACTCAAAAAAATAAGAAAAAAACTAAGAGTTAAAACAAAAAAAAAATCAATGAATAAAAAGCATCAAAGTATTCACAAAAACGGAAACCAAAAAGAACAAAATCCTTTAAAATAAAAAATTCTACATTCAACAAAAACTGAGTTTAATAATCTCAAAAAATTGAAAAACAATGATTCGAAAAAAATGTATTCAAAAGAAAAAAAAACATTTAAATCTGAAATAACAAAAGAATTTAAATCAGATAGCTCTGTGAAATATACATCAAAGATTAAAAAAAAAAACTAGAGCAGTCAAGAGTCTCAACAAATTTGAAATCAAGAATTTAAAACAAGTTAACTTGTAGGGAAAAATAGGTTTCAATATTCACAAAAACAAAAATTTTAAATGACAAAAGAACTTAAACTAGAAAATTGTACAGAATATAGGTCAAATACTCAAAAAATTAATAAATCACAGAGTTCCCCCAATCTCGATATCATGAATTTAATAAATTATAAATAAACGAAAATACATCAAATTGTAACAACAAGTGTTAACGAAGTTCAAACGATGTTTGCAAAGAAATTTATGGCAACCAGTAAGGAAATAAGGGAATTTAAAGTTATTAGAAAATATTTTTCTACACATTCATGCACATTTCAATAAACAAAAAAAGAAGGTAAAAAATCATTAAGCGTAATGACTCAAAATGAATATGAAATTAAAAACTCAAAAGGGCGTAGAGGACCAAAACTAACGAACTATAAGGAAATGATGGAGTTAAAAAAATCCAAAAAATTTTATTATACAACAACAAAGCTGACGGAACGTCCAGAAACCACTACCTTTAAGTGGTTTAGTCTTGGATATAAGACTGTTAAAGAATATATGGAACTAAAGAAATTGAAACAAATCAAAAACCGTTATCGAGGAAAATATTTAGAAAAACCAACCAGTATATCTGAGTAACAATTATAATAATTCAATTTCTATGAATTCTGTAAAGATTGAATCAACAAATTCAAAAAAAATAATGCCAAACAACAAATTGGTAACACATCTGGAAAAAATAAATTCGAATTATTTTGATGAAAGAAGACCTGGTAAATATTATCCAAAAACCCATTTCATAATAAATCAAAAAATATAACTTAATATCACAATATAAGTTTACATACAGAATAACAACTAAATGTTAGGGGACGTAGCGACAATATATGAATTGCTTTTTGTTAAAAGGGCATATGTTACATTTTTTGTTAATTTTTTTTTGCAACTTTCAACCAGTATAAACTTAAATAAATATTTTTACAGTATCAAAATTTGGTATAATTATCGAGTACCATGCATGTCATAATACACATAAAACAAATTATTTACTAAATTACCACATTTTTGAAAGTTATGCAATTTTTTATCATTTTCCAAAAGTTTACCTGTTGAAACATGTGCCCTTTTAACAAACAGCGATTGATATGGACTATCGATTATGAGTTTTATCGCAAAACGTTTTTTTTTTATACTTTTACGGTGTATTTAGAATTTTAAATTTGAAGTTGTTATCGGTCGGTTCATATATTTAGCTCTTTTTGTTTAATTATTTACATGAAATGCGTGTACATATTACTGGCTGCCATTCCAAAGTTCCTCATTAATTACCATACCTATAAGACTAAATACATTTTATTAATAATTGTAAAACAAATGATAGTAAAGTAAAAGTGTGCTATTTTTAATTAACCTAATGATTTAATATCTTACATTTTAGCTATATGACTTCAGTAGCCCATTTCAAATGCAAGTAGACCTACGAAAATCCATAATCCATACATAAAATGTTAGCTTAAACTAGCTTGATACAAAATGGGGTTCCAGCATTTGTTTTGCAATAAGCCCCACGTTTCTCCCTCCCTATCTAAATTTTAGTTACTAATTTATTGCAAACAAACTCTATGCACAGAATTGTATTTTTGTAATATAAAACAATTAATGACGGCACTATATTTTTTAGTTTTTAATAAAAATAGTTTTTTATAAAAAAACAAAACTATACATATGAGCTGGTATAATAATATAGCTGAATCCAACTATCATATAATGCAAATGTTGCTTAGTTTTCTAAAAGTGATTGCTATATTAATATTCTACTTCATAGTATATTCAGAAGGACAATATTATTGTACCTAATTCATAAGCATGAATATTATTCCCTACTGCATTTTATGTAGATATTGATTACATAAAAACGGTTTAAAGTGATTTTTTTTAAATATAATAATCGATATTCTAATATAAATTGCATATTTATACCATCTAGCCACCATGTTGTATTCAAATGTTTTGGCCTTTGGGGACCACTGGTAAGTTAGGGTACCAAAATCTATATTTTGTCTTAAGCTTCCCGCCATTGACGTTGTTGTATAAAAATATGTATACCGAGATGTCACAATAATTATTGTTTTCATACAATTTTTTCTATTTTTTATATAGCACTAAACACATTGTTTTTAACTATACATTTAATTGTTAATATAATAATTGGTTATGAAGTAGAAACCCGGTTTAATAAGTAGGCATATAGGCAGTAATCGTATTTATCGTCTTTCGAAAATTATGTTGATATTATTATTGTTATTATTATGTAAATCATGTTATTGCAAACGTTACATAGTCAATATATTACTGTCAGTAATTGTGCTTGATAAATCGTTTGTTCACTTAAGTGTTACTAGGATGATCATTCTCAATAATAGTTACACTCGTTTTACGTTCGGCGGTGACGATTATATTATTATTATATAATAATACAGAGTGATGAAACTTTTTTTTTAATGTAAGTAAAAAAGGCGGAAAACCATTCCGCGCCTCACAGTTTTGTTTACTGGATAAAAAAAAAGTTACAACCAATCGCTTTACCTGAACACCGCCCCACTTACTCGTACATTGCTGCCTTTTGCATGACGATAGCAGAAGTGCTCCCGTTTTCCGGTTTCTGAGGAAATGATGGTGGTACCATACGCATTCGCAAACTAACTAGTCATCTACATAATTAATGAATTTTATTTTCATGCCGCTATGCGTAAACGTTTAACGTGTAGATCCACTGTTATGTTTTTACTTACTGTTTTATCGTTCGATAGGTTTTACAGTTTACTTAATATCAACCGAAGACTTTGTCAATAAAGTTCCTAAAAATCATAAGCAATTTTGAAAAACAAACCCTTTAACCCGAAGTCATATTATAATAGCGCTGTATCGCTCTAGTGTTCTGTATGATCGTGGTGATATTTGTCTGTTTATTGTGAACACTCTACTTTCTCTGTATAGAAGTGGTAATTGTAAATTTTAAAGGAGAATGATTAGACAAACACATATTTTTTTTTTTTACTAAATTAGGTATATTAAGTTTTTGAAGCTATATGCCTCTAACAAATTTATTGTAAGATAACTAAATATTATTGATCTGTACTCAATTGAAGTATTATTTATTTAACTGAAAAATAATATTACATTCGTTTTTTTCACGTATTACGTCTTTACTCTCCAATCGGGGTTCTGGCGGTATAGATTTGGCAGTTTTAATTTATTATTACATATTTTGTACAATAAGTTAATGTATCTTGTTTTCTATATATAATAGGTAAAGTATACTGGTGTTTTTCTAACTGATTCTTGATAAACAACGCGTAGTGTTTAAATTTT